GAGATCAAGTTTAACCAAGAAGGACTTCACAAGATAGGTAATCAAGTGGTGCCCAGAAGCCCCTAATTAGGCCATAGACACTGAAATATTTCTGCTGAAGAAGTCTGCAACCCTTACAGCCTCTGTACTCACTTTGAGGAGCTAGTGGTGAATGACACAACTACACTGCTATGAAAAATCTGAGCCTACATTTTGCCCCACCACAGGCTCCTACCATACACTGCTATCTTGGGTCCTTACCCACTTCAGGTACTAAAGCAGCCACATGGCTATTTCAAATGGTTCGGCCTTCCTAGCCACCCCAATATTAAGAGGAGACTGGCAGCCCCACACATCTTTCCATTGCGCTAATGAGAAATTTGACAACCTTCCTTGAGCCAAGTGGACTCCCAAAGACAGACAAAGCCACCCATGCAACTACCAGTGGTACCAGAAGTAGGTACCACTCTCTATCCAACCATTGAAAGCCTTACATCCATGCAGTCCTCAGACTTCAGGTGCCCACCCCTTGCTACTGGGCATACTGCAACATACCTGCCTTGGTCTTCCGTAAGTCCCTAAGCAACTGACAGGTACCCCAACTCCACTATCATGTCAGCTATCCTTGTCTGAGTGGACAATAATCACTTTGACAAAAGGAGCCAAAAAATGTACACTCTTCAATAAAAGTGGAAACTAGATATCCCCATGATAAAAAATCTAGCCTTTTATTCTCTCACCATATACTAAACTAACTCAAAATAGATCAAAGGCCTAAATGTAAGGCTTGAGTCTGTGAAATACTAGACAACAATCAAAGGGGAAACAATTCAAGCCAACAGTATAGGCAATTGTATTTTATAACACGCCTATATCAAAATAACAAAAATAAAAATAGACAAACAAGATAATGTCACATAAAAAGTTTTTGCATTTGAAAGAGAACGAGAGAAGTGTGAAGAAACAAGCTTCAGGGTGGGATCAAATATTTGCAAACCAGTCATATGAAGAAGAAAGAATATCCACAATATATGAAGAAATTATATAATTCAAAGCAAAAATATAAATGTTAAACAACCTTTTGTATCATTAATAGAAAAAAATTTTTCATACTCTTTATTCACTCAATCTTATTCCTTATTCATTTCTAGTTTTATGTTTTGTGATATACATAACATGGCAGCAGAGTGTTGCATATATCAAATATGTAGGAGAATAGGCAATATTTAAATTATTTTTAAGTGATTTTATTGATTTGAATGTACAAAGAACAGGTGGCAATCGGTCTTCTGCGGAAGTTGCAAGCAGATAGATGACAGTTGAAACTCTAGATGAGATAGATAACCAAACCAGTCAACTTGGTTAAGAAGTTTCTTAGATGTTCTTTCGAATGACATTTAGAGTTGGACGTCAACTATCAGAGAAGAGTTTCAGTAAAATGACAGAAGTACAAAGAATAAGCAGGAAAAAACCAATCAGAAAATTTTCCAATTAAACTCTCATTTCCCTTATGTTATTTGTAAGCTTCCCTTATATCATGTTGTAAGTTTTGGCCAAATTACTTTACTATACAATATATGATTACATGTTACACTTTCTAATGTCTATACATTTGTCCTGGGTTTTCCTAAGGTACTTTATATTCTCATGCTCTCTGCTGTTTATAGCACTCTTACCCTCAGAAGTTTATCTAAAATCACAAATCCACTGGGAATTTTTTTTTTAAAAATATGAGTATTGAAATAATATGTATCAGGAATTTAGCTCAGTTGGCTTCAAAGAGCCCAAAAGAACTATGAAGTGATACCTATGTTAAGGCTGTTTAGAACAGACGTTCACAAAAATCCAGAGACATACAAGTCACACCTAGTTAAGTGAATACTGATATACAGAAAGAACAATTTAGGTAATGCAGATAAAAAGGTTTGATCATAAACCAGAGAAAGTTCTCATATAAAATGTGTTTATATCTGACCTTAAATATGAGCAGAATTGAAATGGAAAAAGAGGGAAAATTTATTTTAGGTGTAAGAAAAACTGATATCATACAGAATAAAGCAGGTACACAAGGATCAGGGAAGTGATGCACATGGCCATCTTGCCTCTGATGAACAGGAGAAAGCAAAGTGGGAAATATATAGAATTGCAAAATTAGGAAAATGGACCTAGTTTGAAAAAATAAAGAGGTTCTGTTCAGAACTCTTGAGCAGGGAAGTATCACTTTGAAATTCATTCAGCAAACAATAAGCACTACAAAATGACAAACACAATTCAGAGGACTGGAAATACAGAATTGGACAAATCAATGAAATCCCTTCTTCCTAAACCAGAGCACCAATCTTGGGGTAGGAAAGGAGTGACCAATTGCCGATGTACTCACAGATAAATGCATAATTATTAAAGAGTGATTAGTGGTATGAAGAAGAGAAAACAGCAGGGTATGAAATATAAAAGACATGATATGAAGAGAAAGGACAGGAGAACAGTCTCAGAATTTTTATATAGAACAAATTAAAAAATCAAATTTCCACATGGGTATTCAAGGCACAGGGTGAAAAGTTGATTACCCTAGCTGAAGCTTTCATACCTCCCAATTTCCTCTCAAAAGCTAATTATCTTTCATAAACCAATTAATTCTACTTCCTTCAGAAAGGGGTTCAAAGAACCTGAGACTATTTTTCTGCCTATTCTACATTTTATGGACATCACGGTGAAGAGAATTATAAAAATTAAGTCAGTTACATACAAATTGGCAGTATCAAACAAACTTTAGTGTGTGTCACTTGTGTTAATCTCATTGTCTCACAAGATATCTTTAATGAATGACAAGTGGTTCCTATGTTATTAGGACTTAATAGCACACAGAAATACAATGATGAAATTGCAAGGAAATCCCTCAGGATTTGACAGAAAACTTTAACTTGGCAGTGTAGGGACACATTATTAACACTGACCTATAGTCTCTGAAATTTGTGTTCTCTTAATCCCAAATGTTTTTGCAAGAATGTACACATATATATTCTTAAATTCTGAGACCTTCACATTAAACAACATAAAGCAAACATCGCACTTTCAAAAAGCTCTTCTTAGTGAAATCTACATAGAAGAAGTGTTCGAATTTATTTTTTAATTTAAATTTTAACATATTAGAAAATATATTTTCTGGAATTATTTACCATGTTTCATTGTTTCTAAATTTTCATTGTTTACTTAGTTCTCTAATTCTTCTCAGTATTGAAAAGCATGGTAAATGGGGAAAGTTATAATGCTGTGATTAATGTGAATATCTGATTATAACATAGAACTTCAAAATATATAGGTAAGATCCAAAAAATTTGTTAATTTATTTAGGAATATACATTGAAAGTTATTTGTAGTTCAACTAAAGTATTACATGCTTACATTGGTATTTATCTTAACATTTTAGGAAAAAAATAATTTCTAATGGCTTCCTTTTAGTATTTGTGGAAATAAAAATATAGTTTTATCATAGAATTTCTATGATCAGCTTTATCAGTGAATTACTGATCTGTGATCAACCTTATCACTAAGTAATAGAAAAAATAGCCCTTTAAACTAAATAAAATTTGAAATCAAATATCCTATTAGGATTTAATGGATTTCCTGTTTTTCAAGTGAGAAAAGTGAAATATGAAGGTGAACTGCTTTTATCGAGCTGGATTTCTAAATTTAGAAAACATATAATCTTCTAGTAGAAAAGAGGTAGTTTCAACAAAGGAAATATACCTTGGTTTCTTAAGAAGATGATTTTGAAAATGTTCCTTTTGGACCTTTCTTCAAAGCTTAGTCTGAGTATGCATATAACACATGCACTACAATTCAAAATTGTGGTTACTGTGGTATGGGATACTCAGTTAAAAGTTTATTAAGTAACGCTGTATGTAAACTATGCTTCAGCAAAAGAGGAAGAGCTTAGAATTAGAAAAAAATCAATGGGAATAATTTAATGGGAAGAGTCATTGTTCATTAAAAGTGTATAACAATAAGTTATGCAAAGGTTATGATCTCTGGACATTTATATCTTTGGCTTTCCATTTTTTTTCAGGTAAAATACCCTCCTTATTCCTTATTGATCTTTGTGACATATTTAACATATTAATTTAACATATGTGTAAAATATTTTAAACCATTTCCTTCCCTATAAGGATAAATAAAGATCATTAACACAATAGAAAAACATGAACTTATAGGAAAATTGATTTTTAAAAAGCTTGGGATTTTTTTGTTTGTTTGGTACTGAGGATTAAACACAGAACTTTATCACTGAGCTACACACATAGAGATATTTTGTTTCAAAATAAATAATGAAAAACTAAGTTTCTAAATCCAGCCTCCAAATTTTTAGCCCTCTGTCTCACCCTCCCTAGTTGCTGGGATTACAAGTGTGATATTACCAACATCATATTTAAGGTATTTTTAAAAAAACTGATATGGAAATTGCTTGGAAAATGGATCAAACATGGATACCCTAAATGTTTATATGATTATGAATAAAAACTTAAAGATAAAATTTCTGTGCTTTTTTTGTACCAGAAATTGGACCCAGGAGTGCTTAACCACTGGGCAACATCCCCAGCCTTTTGGGTCTTTTTGTTTGTTTGTTTTGTTTTTTTGAGATAAGATCTTATTAAGTTGCTTAGGGCCACATTGATTTGCTGAGACTGGCTTTGAATTTGTGATTCTCCTGCCTCAGCCTCCCAAACCACTGGAATTATGGGCATGCACCACTGTGCCCAGCAACTTTCTGTTCTTTAACCATCCTGCCTGGAATTATCAAAATATCCTTGTTAATTTTGATAATCCCAGATAGAGGGCATAGTTGCTGACTCTTCAAGAAAGACAATTGTTCCCTGGAAGTATGTGGCATTTTGTGCTCAACATAGCATGGTTCAGTAATGAAGAAATTCCTCTACCAGCATAAAAAAGAAAAGATCAATGGAAAATTGTATGCGGTTAATTAGAATTTAATATCTCATTAATATCTATCTTAACAGACAAAGATGACTAAGGTCAACCATTCATTGACAAATGAATTCATCCTCATGGGACTTACAGAAAACCCAGACCTCAAAGCCCTTCTGTTTGTGGTATTCTCTGCCATCTATCTGGTCACCATGGTGGGGAATCTAGGTTTGCTGGCCTTGATTTACATGGAGCACCATCTTCACATACCAATGTACATCTTCCTGGGCAACCTGGCTCTTATGGATTCCTTGAGTTCCTGTGCTGTTACTCCCAAGATGTTGCAGAACTTCTTTTCTGAGGACAGAAGGATTTCCCTCTCTGAATGTATGGTACAGATTTATTTTCTCTGTATTGCTGAATCAACAGACTGCTTTCTTCTGGCAGCAATGGCTTATGACCGCTATGTGGCCATATGCAGACCACTGCAGTACCACACCCTGATGTCAAAGAAACTCTGCATTCAGATGACCACAGGAGCCTACACAGGTGGAGTCCTGCATCCAATGATTGAAGTAGGGCTTTTGTTAAGGTTGGTTTTCTGTGGGTCTCATCAGATCAATCACTTTTTTTGTGATGTCCTTCCATTATACAGACTCTCCTGTGTTGATCCTTATATCAACGAATTGGCAGTACATATTTTGGCAGGGTCAATTCTAACCTTTACTATTACTGTAGTGCTAATATCTTATATCTGCATCCTTTTCACCATATTCACAATGAAATCTAAAGAAGGAAGGGGCAAAGCTCTATTTACTTGTGCATCCCACTTTCTCTCTGTATCAATATTCTATGGTTCTCTGCTCTTCCTGTATGCTCAACCAAGTTCAGTTAATGAAGGGGATACAGATGTACCTGCTGCTATATTTTATACTCTAATAGTTCCTTTATTAAACCCTTTTATTTATACTTTAAGAAACAATGAAGTAATAAATATTATAAAAAGAATTATGAAGAAGAGGCCATGTTGTAACTTTCTGTAACAAGTTTCATCTCCATTGAAAGACTGATTTCTACTTTACAGTACTTTTTATGAACCTACAAATACTGAGAAAGTGGATAACAATACCTTCAAAATAAAAAAAAATAACTCCAAAGGGAGAGAGTATGCAAAAATATACTTAAAAATAAAATGTGTTAAATCAATCAGGAGTGAATTGGATAATTATTCATGACTGTTGTAGCAGAATTAGGCCTAATTTTCAACAAAATAAATATTAGAAATAAAGTCAGAGTATATATATATAAAAGTTGCCTCCATTTAATACTGTTAGCAACTTTCTTATATCCCAAAGAATATTTTTTACAATCACTGGCATATTCTAAGTTCTCAAATGTTAATTTTTCCTTAAGCAACTCCATCTGTCTAAGTAAACAATGTGTTTGAATTTGATTTTTGAATTAGACTTTAGTTATTTCAAGAGATTATATTTCAGTATGTATTTATTCTCTAATAAATAATATTTTCATGTTTAGTTTTATTCACTTTTAATCTCGAATTCTCTATAATAGAGTATCTGTATATTGTGATTTAACAACATGTAGTTAAAAATGGTGCTCTTTGAGTAAAAGAAGATGATAGAAGGAGAAGGAAGGGGAGAGCATGTGGAAGGATGGGGGATGAAATCTAGTAAATCTAGATAGATATATCTGTACATGCTGTGTCCATGTACAGATATATCACAATGAATCTCACTTATGCATATGTAATTATAATGCACAAATTAAGGTAACAACAATTATAATAGAAGGGAGAACAGTAGAATAGAGCAAGCAGATTGGGGTGAGGAAGGAGAGATGAAAGGGAAGGCACCAGTGAATGAGATTGATCAAATTATGCTATGTGCATGTATTAATATGGCATAATGAATCCAACTGTTATGTATGATTATAATGCACAGTTAGAAATGTTTTTCATTATAAATCCTGGTCAATTTTAATTTTTTATATAATTTGTTTATTTGTACATCATATCACAAAATTGTAATTAATGAAAATATCAATGAAATGAAGATTTTTTTTAACCTGACATCATTGCCTGATTTGTTATTCAATAGGATTATGAAAACCCTGGTCTGATTCTTATGAAATGTATTAATATATATAGAATTAAGAAGAAATGGAAACATTTTTTTCCAAAATAATTGAAAGAAAAAAAAGGAGTGAAAATCCTTGGCACCTGACCAAAATATTTATTCACCAAATAAATTAACAAACATAAAAGAAAAATAATTTTCTGAAATATATTCTCTGCTAAACACAGGCTAGACTTTTCATGTGTATTAAATAAATAACTAAAGAGACATTTTTTTGTTTTTTTCTTGAATGAAACCTCATACACTGATATGTTTAGTAGCTTGCCTAAGTTCAACTAGGTAAGTCTAAAGAAACTGGAGTGTAAATCAATACTTTATTTTTTCCACATGCTTGGGGATTCAGGAAATGGAGATAATATTATTTGAGGTATTTAGTTGTAAAATAGCATGAGATATAAACAGTACAATTAAGGATGGAAAAAAAATTGATCACTGGAGCAAAATATAAATTATACTGACCAGAATCTATGTTTGTGAAAATCAGTGTGCCTCTGCCTATAAGAAGATGGGTAAACAGTGGAACAGAGCCATCATAGTGGCTAACTGTTGGAGAGATCCTTGGTGAATTTGGGAAGGTAAGGGGGAAATGTGTCAGATTACTGAGAAACTTAATGCCATTCTGAGAATCTGAATTTATTTAGAGGCATGAGACATTGGTGTCTTCCCGGCAATAGTGTAAAATAATTGTATCTCTCAGAAAACTGACTTGGCAATTGATTAGAAAAAATTCACATATTAGGTGATAAGATCAGAACTCAAGCATAATTTAAGAAAAAAGAGGAGTATACATATATATTTTTAAAATATTAATTTTAACTGTTAGTAAATAAAATGAAGCCTACTTTCTTCCTGCCTCCATCATGTCACATCTGATTTTGTATTACCAGTACTCAAGCAGTGCCTGACATCTGCATACAGCACATATTTCCTTCAGAATGTTTTAATAGAATTATGTTAGTTAATGTATAGTGGGGTTCATTATTTTTACTTTTAAGTGACTAAAACTTTTTAAAAATTTTTCAATATTAATATCTAATATGTTAAATACATATCAATACAACCTACATAAATAATAGCTCTTTAGGAACATACTTATGTTTTAAGAGTGTAAACAAGTGAAAAGATCACAAAATTGAGAAACTTAATTGAATGGAGAGTGTACATTCTATGTTTATGGACATTTTCAGTTACCAAAAGTACATTTCTTGATTCTCTTTCCCTCTTCTAATAATACCATAATTTATGCCATACATTTCCAAATAACTCGTGTCTAGTCCTTATGAACATTGATTCCCAAACAAATTTGATAGAAGATTATGTGATTTATTTGGGACCAATGGGACAAAAGAAGTGATGTTTTTGGAAGTTTCTGGAAAATGAATTTCTTTTGTATTTAGAGAGATCCACAAAAAAATATCTGGACAGGAAAGAGATGCTCCTTCCTTTTTAACAGATAGCAGCCATCAGGTAAGTCACGATGGTGGCATACAAGTACATCTTGGAGTTGTGGAGGAAGAAGCAGTCTGATATGATGTGCTCTTCTCTGTAGGTCCCCTGCTGGCAGTACCACCTGCTCTCTGCTTCACAGGGCCCTTTACCAAATTTCCCCAGATAAAGTGTACAGACTGGGATACAAGGCCAGGCAGGGTTATGTCATCTGCAGGATACATACAGGCCATAGTGTCTGCAAATGCCCAGTTCCTAAGGATGTAATGTATGGCAAGACTGTCCATCATGCTGTTAACAAGGTAAAGTTGGTTTGAAAGCCTGTTGTTGAGGAGCAAGCTAGAAGCAACTGTGTGTATTCCGTGAGTCCTGAATTCTAACAAGGTCCTTGAAGATTCCACATAAAAATTCATTCAGGTTATCTTTATTGATCCATTCCATAAAGTTATCAGAAGAAATCTACACACAGTAGATCACCAAACCAGTCATAAACACAGGCAGATATTGAAGCGGACATTTGCAAACCACAAGAGTGGTGACTTTCAAAGGAGGTTCCACCACACTTTTTTTGGTTCCTTGCAGTTTGGAGAAGACACAATACCCCCCAGCTCTATTTTCACCATTTAATTTTTGTTTAGTTCATACATAATAAAGAATTTAGCACAGTCATGTCTGCCTTAAAGTGTTATTTGTTGAAAGTAGTTTGTAGATTATTTCGTGAATGTTTTGCCAAATTGTGGAAGTTAAAGTGCAATGATGTTTGAAGATAATAACTGAGTGTGTACCTTCTTTCTAAAACAGTAAACTTTTCTTGTCTTTGCTTTATCTTTATAGGGAGTTACATGTCAGAGGTTAATACATGCTGGGTGGTATAAGCTGTATAAAATAAATTTTGTAACAGATGAATGTTGGAATGAGCATTGTCAATTTTTTTGGTACATATGATAAAATATGCAGCTTCATGGGATAATGCAATGCTCTCCTAACTTTGAAGTGGTTGGGTATTTTGAAGTTTGAGACATACTAACTTTAAAATATGTATTTTGGTTAGAAATCTGTAGGATGGATGGAGGAATTCCTAAACCTACACCATGATCATATGTAGAAAATGTGAGCTAAATCAAAGCCCATATTTTAAAATTTAGCCCAGCGTTTCATTTGTAAAATTGTTATTTCTGAAAGGAAAATAGTTCCCTAAATGCCACCATGTTTATAAGAATAAACCTTCTGCAAAAGGGTTTCTCACAAATCTAGGTTAACCTAAACAAAATTGCCTCTCTCTACAGTAGTGTAAATTCACATAAAGTATGAAAGCTAATTCAATTCTATATCTCTATGGAATCTAGAATCCTGAATTTGTCACACAGTAGTCATTTGTGATGCTATGCCACTATCCTTTAAATTGATGGGAATTTAGCTTTAGTTGTTGTTTCCCTTAAGATCTTAAGCTAGTAACAAATGCTAGGGTGGTAATCTGATAAGCCAGTGGCCATTCAAAAAGTTTCATTCAATTTTGAAGTTAGAAACTGAATGTCAGTTTTAATCAAGATTTTAAAATTCTTATCTGTAACACTAATTTGTAACAAGTATAAATCCTCTGTTTCTAGCATATTCCCATGTTCTGGCTTTCTTGGTTTATTCTTTATTCTGTAGATGAGTTTTGTGTTTTGTTATGGCTTGGATTTAAGATGTCCTTTGTGTTAATGTGAGAATATTCAATGATGAAATGATTGGAATGTGACAAAATTAACCTAATTTTAATTAGTCCATCCTACATTTAACGGACTAACTGGGTGGTAAGTGTAGGCAGGTGGGACATGACTAGAAGAGGTAGGTCACTGTTGACATGCTCTGGAAAGGTTCATCTTCTCTTCAACCCCTTGCCCTCTCACTCTGTTTCCCAGTCACTAGGTCCTTCTGCCTCTAGGCCCAGAGTAATGTGGCCTGCCACTCATTGGCTGAATCTCTAAAACCAAGAGTTCAAAATAAACAGGTATTGAAACATTGCTTAAAGGTCCCTATTTTTTGAAAAAGATAAAATTTTATTTTTAATTTTTTAGCTGATGCATAAAACATAAAAATTCATGTGTTATTGGGTTCTGTCAGGTTTCAATATCTGTTTCCATTATGTATGATAGGAGTTTTCAAAAGTATACTTATCTCCAAATTCTTGTCATACAATAAACCTTGACAGCTTTGCAAGCCAATCATACTTTATAAGTGACTTTTTTTCTAGTCATCTTATGATGCATAAATTAAATAAGGGAACACAAAGTCAGAGTTTCAGAGAATGAATCTAAAGTATTTGGTCAAATTCATTGTAAGACATGAAATAAAGGAAAGCAGCACTATTTGATCACATTACACTTTGCCTCTACAAATCCAACTCTCTCTTCAAATATCTCTTTAACTTTCACTTCAAGTAATCAGTACAAATCGTT